TGCTTTTGAGATAACCCCATAACCAATAGTCACAAGGCGTGAGATCGGGAGACCTTGCCGTCCAAGGAACATCACCATTCCGCGAAATGACTCTTCCTGGAAACATTTCTCGCAGTCGAACCATTGTTGCTCGTGCTGTATGCGCTGTGGCGCCATCTTGCTGAAAAAATACAGTATTTAAATCTATGTTCCGTCGACGAAGCTCTGGTTCCAAAAATGTGTTTAACATTTCCAGATAATGTTGCGAATTGACTGTGACAGAATTTCCAGCATCGTCCTCAAAAAAATACGGTCCAATTATGCCGAATCGCGACACTCCGCACCAAACAGTAACCTTGCGACTATGAAGGGGTCGCTGGTGAAGTTCTCTCGGGTTTTCTGCACACCAGTAGCGAAAATTCTGCTTATTTACGTAGCCTGATGCGCCTCATCAGATATAATTAAGCCACCTAAAGCGTTTTCATCCAAAAGTTCCAGAAGCTGGTTGCTTGCAGTCAAACGGTTCACAAAGTCTTCAGCTGTCAGTTCTTGAACCATCGCTAATTTGTAAGGGTGATAATGTAAATCCTTATGCAAAATACGCCGCACTGTTGTTTCTGAAAGCCTTAGCTTGTAACCTAGCTGAACGACGTGGACTTTGCTGCACCGCTGTTCGCACCCTCTCAATATTGGCTGGAGTCCGAACTGTTCGTCGCATTCCTGGTGGCTTAGCTTTCATTGCTGATGCAGATCGACGAAAATTTTTGACCCACAACTTAATTGTGTTACGGCATGGAAAAGAACCATGACGTCCGACATTGGAATGTGTACGAAATAGACGCTGTGTAATGATCACCGAGTCGTGATTTTTAAAATACGTCTCGACAACAAATGCGCGATATTCACTTGTCCACAGCTCCATGACTACTGAAATGGCATCTACTACCGATGTCTTGCCCACTGTAACCGATGTTCTACGTCAAAAAACAGCTTCGTACTGAAAACGTCAGGTTCCTTTGGCGGACCCTGTAGTACTGCTACCATTTTTCAAAAAGTAGAATTACCTACTATGACCTCGTGCCACGTATGACATTTGAACGATAATTGTATATTCACTAGTACTAACTCAGTATATCTACGATATAAAATGGATAATTTCATGATAAGCCTTGACACGACGGGTTAATGAAATCCAACACTCTACGTCTCTGACGTAGGGTTTTCGTGGCACACGAACCGCCTAAAACTATCGCGCTGTGAATGTGCGCGCCCCCGTCCGTGAAAATTTATAACCTCGTTGGTATGGTAATGTAATTAGGCGATGCCGACGCTTCGGCGCGTCGCCGCTACGCGTCATGCCGCGCACTGCGTTGATCCGATCGAAGTATACAGATCACGTAAAGTAAAACCACTCATCTACGACCTTATTAACGCGGCTCCCACGATCACGAGGACCATCTCTTGATGTAGCAGTGGGCTGCTCTTAGACGATTGTCAGAGCTACTTTAAAAAGGAAAGGTTGAATGCGGGCGAGTGCCGGGGTAAATTTCCATAATAACAGAGCCTCTTTTTAATTTATTCCACTAGATTTTAAAAAAAAATCGCGAGGTTGAACAAAAAAGTAAGCACTTCAACCCACCATAAATCTTCTGTAAAACCAAAATTTCAAAAAGTGCTCCGATATCACAATGGGCATACTGTATGAATTTCATTCAAAATTACTGAAAAATGGAGTGTCAGTTTCGAAGCTGCTGAACCCTTGTGAATGGCTTGAAACTCACTGCGTCGGAGCCGCCTTAAGCTCCAAACGCCAGACTTTTCAGAAACTAGATGTTTTGTGAAGCGATGGATAGCCTTGGCGAAGGGGTCGTCCTGGCTTTTTTTTGTAAACAACCAATAATAGTCAATTTTTATAAACTTTATAGTCAACATTCTCTAATATGTGTTTGAGAATGCTGGCCTCGAGAGCAACAATATTTAAAATGCGAATTTTAACTACAATAAATTCAACAATTCAAGTGACTTTTGGGTGTTTTTACATAATTTCTGAATAAATGTACATTTTTTACACTGTTTGGTAGAATAATATGTATTTTTACCGCATCAGTGACAGGGTTATTTAATCCAATATTAGTTCTAGTATGAATCTGGTCAAATCACTATGTGATCTTGTTTCAAAGTTATGCACATCATGTGTGATCAGAATTTTTGTATTACGTTTTTGTTGATCGTCATTTAAAACTTTCAAATACATTTTACATTGTTCTAATTCCAACACCTTATCTAGTTTACTAACATTCAATTTTGTGTACATATCCGGGTTTGGCAAAATTCTTAATATTCTAATTCGCGAAGCTTGTGCTTCATCAAACTCAGTTTTACCGCACATTCTCCAAATAGCTAACATAAGAAAAATGCATTATAAACATGTATACAGGGTGTTTCAGTTTATTGTTGTATAACTTTAAGAGTCGATAGAACTTTTAAAATTAATGCATAAAGTCTATATAAACATGGGTCGAAAAATGCGTGGCTTCCGAAATACAGGGTGTTTAAATTTGATAATTTTTAGAAGTAGGCCTTCACATCTACGAATGATCGAACGTGGTATACCATTATTCAAATAAGGCCTTATTTCATCACATGCATTCCTGATTCCGTCTATTAGCAAATCTCTTGTGGTTACGGGAGTCTGGTACACTTTTTCTTTTAGAAATCCCCACACAAAGAAATCTAATGGATTTAGGTCAGGGGATCGTGGAGGCCAGGCGACTGGTCCTCCACGGCCGATCCATCTTTCTGGATAATTTTCATCCAGTCAGTTTCTAACTATTCTCGAATAATGAGCTGGACAACCATCATCTGGAACCAGGCCAATCTTCTTAAATCTAACATAACATCATCCCACATATTTGCATGTTCAGCCTTTAAAAATTCCAAGAAGGTCGCAGCATTTAACCTTGCAGGCAAAAGGTAGTGTCCAAATAGTCGATTACGGTAGATACCAATCCACACGTTCACACTAAATTCATGCTGAAAATTTCTTTCCCGAACTGCATGCGGATTTTCATGCGACCAAATATGTTGATTATGAAAATTCACCACTCCACGTCTAGTGAAGCATGACTCATCGGTCCATAAAACGTTACTTAAAAACTCTCTATTATTATCAGTTCTATCAAGAATCCACTGACAAAATGTGATTCTTCGTTCTCCGTCCCCTGGCTGTAGTCCTTGCACAGGCTGCAAATGGTAAGCACGTCTATGGTCATTTCTAAGAACACGGAGAACATGGCTTGCTGAAATTCCCAAGGCACCAGAAACTCTCCTAACACTTGTGGTCGGATCTCTATCAAACTCACGCAGAATCATACGGGTAAATCTGCGCTGACGAACATTAATGTTTTGATCCCTTTGGAGATTTCCAAAACCATTTTCAATTATTTGGCGATGCACTCTTACAAATACTGAGCGAGTTGGATGTCGTCTGTTTGGAAATCTTCATGCGTATTCTCTGGCTGCTTCTGCTGCGTTTCCATTTACAAAGCCATACACAAAACTAACTCTTGATTGGAGAATAAAAATGGTAATTTTTATAAAACTTACAAAAAAAACAGTTAAAAGAAATTAGATTTCGTGCATTCACAATTGCAAAAAAACGTTTCAGGTTTCAACAGACAACAAAACTAACTGTCAACTAATTGACGTTTAACCTTATTCTGCTTTCAATTTCAAAAATATTTGCAGGCACAGCCTACTTCGGAAAATTATCGAGATACTAACTTTTTAACGTTATTTCATAGTAGTTTCATATGTGCATTCATTTCGGGCCTGATGAAGCCAACCAGCAGAAATACGTATCGCTCGGGTTACCTATCCTATTTTCTGCTCGAATCCACTTTCCTCCTTTTTGCGGATTTTGCCCATTATTTTCCTACTTTTTGTTATATACCTTTCTCCGCATGATCAGTTTCTCTATATATATAACTTGAGACGTGGTCATTGTCGTCTAGACCAGTTAGGTGAAAATTAAAGCTTCCGCCTTTTGTTGGGTATATATATATATATTTTTTTGAGGTCAAGTAGTCTCTGCTAAAAAATGTTTGGTGTGACTAGACCAATTCAAATTCTCATCGATAATTGAACCCAGGTATTTGATGCTTGTACTTTTTCTATTTTGACGTTATTCATTCTTATAGAAAAGTATTCTACTATTTTATTCTTCTTTAGTAATCAGATATTTTGTTTTATCGACGTTGATCTTCAGTTTATTAGACAGTCATTTGCAGTGAAGAGCGAGATCTAAATTTACTTCATCAGGCAGAATCTGCTCATGACTTCCTTATAGAGAAGTACTGTGTCGTCAGCAAAAACAAAAAACCTTGCATTAAGATTAATACTCTTTAGATTTAGAACGCCTCGGATCTCTTCAGATTGCCTCAGCGGAAAGAAACCTCCTTGGATTTCCTCTGAGTTCCTTCCACTAGGATAGTAAAGTTCAATGGACGCCATCTCATCTCAATCTCTTTCGGTTGGTAAAGTCATTCCCGCACGGATGTTACGTATCTTGAAAAGTGACATTTCGTCGTTTTTTTTGACATTTCGTAGGTATTTTGTGACATAAAGTAGGTTGTTCTACAAGAATGTGAACTCGTTTTGTAGCTGTACGTATGGAATGAATTATTTGCACGCTAAAAGCAAGTTTTTTATTTTTTTTTTAGGTAATACTCCTGCCGAAGATGCTTTATGTGCAAGCAATGACTAGTTCATAAGTTGTATACAAATTTCCTTGCATATCTCCTAAACAGTCGTCTTGGATTGGCTCGAATTTTCTTGCACTAAGATAGTCAAGTTCCTTGGATGCCCTTAGGGATCTCCTTGAATTGTTTAGATTTTTTGGTTACACTGGGATAGAAAATCTTCGTAAGCACCGTCCTGACTAACTCGTACTCAAGCCCTTCAAACGGCTGGAAAGGCGAAATCAAAATCGCTTCTGAAACTTGGGAGGTAGGCTTCTGTCACTACTCCTTTCTGGTATGAGGATGCAAATAGCTAGTTCTGGTCGCCGCGCCCAGCTGAGCGCTAGCTCCCTCGTGGGCGTCAGAAGTTGGGGTTCGCAAGACTAAGACTTGCCTGGCCTTGGTCTTGCAACATAACAACAGTCCTGTCTTGGTCTTTCTGTTGCAAACTAAAATAGTTCCATATTACTTTAGTGCTTACCTACTAACGTCAATCATTTCGTAAGACAATTATAATAATATTATACATTATATGGATTAGGTATATGTTGAATTTTTTTTTATACTCCAACTACCACGAAGGCCTAAGGCCTAAACACCCATTGGACACTGTGGGGCTATAGGGGGATACAGGGGTAAGGGGGACGCCACACGGACTCTGGCGAGGGAACACGTGTGCATGCAACATGCACACATTCTGGCTCCGCCTACGAGATCCGCCGGGTGGTACCTCCACGTTCGACAGTCAGAGACCGTCTACCACCTACGGACAATCATAACATCCATAGCCAAGAGAAAAATTTCTCCTGGGACGGGACTCGAACCCGCACAGCGCACGGCGACTGATCAGGAGACCGAAGAGTCTACTACTGCGGCCACCGCTGCTGCCTAAATGTCGATCCTATGTCTACTTCCGTTCTCTATAAGGCGCACTGTTGTAAGTCTTCCTACGAATAAATCCTTATATAGGGTGGCGCATCGAAAACGAAACAGACGCATTTACTGGCAGCTTAGTTTTTTTTTGAAAAACGCTCAGATCCGTCGATTTTGTTTTCGAGGGGGACACAATTTTGGCAAAAAATCACGTTAGCACGTGCAGCCCCCTAAGCGGGGGGACACCATCCCCAAAATCTTAAATTGAAAGGAGGGTCGAGTGAAACCTAATTTTAAAGGTGTTTCAATTCGCTTTATAATGATATAAAATTAACGTACTTCAGTTCAGAAGTTTTGAAGATTTATTGATTTAAAGCTTGAATAAAACTAATACATCATCATTAGTGGAGATCAATACATTTGGCAGCAAAGTAATTTAAAAATGAAGAATGAACTGACCCGTTAGGCAAGTAAATGTCGAAAATGGCCACCATGACTCTCCATGCAATAATAAAGATTTTGCTCAAAACGTTGCCGCACATTTTGCAATATTTGAGGAGTAATTTGAAGGCACTCATTCCTTGTCGCAGATCTTCTAATGATGTTGGTTGAGTAGCATAGATTTTGCTTTTTAAATGACCCCACATAAAGAAATCCAAAGGTGATAAATCTGGCGATCTTGGGGGCCATTCAATGGCACCTCTTCTACCAATCCATCGATCTGGAAACGTCTGATCCAAATATTGTCGAACACGTAATGCGTAATGTACCGCCGATGATACTGATTTTCAATTATGGCTTTTAATGCAGGATCTATGGCATCTTCCAGTAATTCCAAATACGATCAAATTTCCAGGTAAGAAAAAAGGACCAACTAAATGATCGCCAAAAATACCAGCCCAAACATTTAGTTTTTGTGGCTGCTGTGTATGAACCTCATGATAAATTCTGGGATTAGAATCAGACCAATATCGGCAGTTACGACGATTTACTACGCCATTCAAGAAAAAGGAACATTCGTCGGAAAAGGAAGTGTTTAATAGAAAATGTTCATCGTTCATAGTTCGTTCACTCATATCTTCACAAAATTGTAATCGCCGATCAAAATTGTCTTCATTAAGTTCTTGTACCAGGTGAATTTTATACGGATGAAAACTATGAGTTTTTGGAATCTGTTGAACAGTACGTCGACTAACACCATACACAGTCTCCAATTTGCGGGTATTTAACGTAGGATCTACATAAACTTGCCCTAAAACCCCCACTTCTATTGCTTCGTTCCTTATGGGATTTTCAATGTTGCGTTTTTTATTGGCGACTGACCCAGTTTCCCGAAATTTAGCTACAAGTTCTAGAACATATTTTCGATGCACGTCACTGTTCTCATGTCGCTCATTGAATATTTCTGCTGTTCTATTAGCGCACTCTTTCTGCTGTGGAATATACCATGGTTAATTTATGTAATAAAGCGTTACAAGTTATTTTAGCAACAAAGTTTGGTCAAATCAATCGCAAACTAAACTCTGGGCGCTGAAGAAAGACATTAAACGTAAACAGTGATCAGCACGTGATCCTATCCCTCGAAAGCATCCACGGATATACTCCAGTCACTTTAGGTCTAAACATCCTCGGCAGTGTATTTCTAGTGAATCCACAGACCCTTTTTCGTGTCATCTTGAGACTAGAAACAGGATGACTGTTAAAATAAGTTACCTTGATCTTTCATGAGCTCCCAGTACAAAACATCATCGATATATTTTTGATGTAGGAACAACAAATTGGTTTAGAAAACATCCACTTTGAACCTAAATTGACTGGAGTAACATCGATCTACAGACAAATTCAAGGTCACTAGCAGTCGTCGGCGCTCTACGAATCTGCACAGGTTTGGACTTGTAAACGTGATTGTAGATGACACGACAGGCATCTAACAGTTAATTCACGCACAGGATTGCATTGCATACGCATTACGCATTCAGTAGCGTATACTCGTTTTTCGCGAGTGGAACGTTTTGTTTATATATTGCCTAAGATACGATGTCTGACACAGATACAGCCGACGAAGTGGTTGACATCAGCGCAACCCCACCCAAAAAAAGGGCTAAGAAGCTACATTTAAGTGCAAATGAAAAACAAATAATATTAAATATATACAAAAACCAAATTCAAGAAAAACCCGATTTGGTTGTGGACGAAGTTATATGTAAGGTAGCACATATTTCTGGAGTATGTCGGTCCAGTGTTTATAGGATCATTAAGGAATATAGGAGCACTCACTCACTTTCTGAGCCAAAACCGTATCCTGCAAGAAAAAGGATAACGGACGGAGTAGATGACTTTGACAGAACTGCCATCAGGAGGAAAGTGCATAATTTTTTCTTCCGAAATGAGATACCTACAGTAGATAAGATATTAAGATTAGTTAATGCTGATGAGGATCTTCCATCATTTAAAAGAACCACATTCCGAAAACTTTTGAAGGAACTTAATTTTCGATTCTTGAAATGGGGAAGAAACAGTATGTTAATAGAGAAAGAAGAAATTGTTGTGTGGAGAAGGGAATCCCTTAGGAAGATTCGGAAGTTTCGCGATGAAAAAAGAAAAATTTACTATTTGGACGAAACGTGGGTGAATGCTGGACATACTCAAGCGAAAGTTTGGGTCGACAAATCAGTAACATCATCAAGGCAGGCTTTTCTAGACGGTCTTTCGGCTGGATTGAAAAATCCTGCAGGTAAGCTCCTTCATCTATCCGGCAATTTAATTTTGATAAATTCGGGCAAATAATATGCTGTGATAGCAGATAATGTGTGATATTCTCCAAAAATGGTGCATTCGCAGTGTAGTCATTAGGAAGAAAACTTCGACCCTCTTTTAAGCGTTATTTTGAAATTTATTATCATTTTTGGGTGCAGTCAATTTGCTTTGAATGGGTTTTGAGAAGTTGCAAACTTCAATTTTCTACGTTTTTCAGTTTTTGATCAGCATTCCGTGACTCTTAAATTCAGCTAAATGAACTCAATTGCCTCATTCCTTCAAATTTAATCAATCCATAGTGTAAGGAATAATTTATTTCCAGGAAAAGGCAAACGGCTGATTATTTGTCACGTAGGTAGTGAAGACGGCTTTGTTCCCGAAGCACTGTGGGCCTTTGAATCAAAAAAGACAGGGGACTATCATGAGGAGATGGACGGCAATTCCTTTGAAAACTGGTTCTCCAAAATGTTACTAAAGCTGGAGAATAACGCTGTTATTGTACTGGATAATGCCCCGTACCATTCTAGAAAAATAGAAAAAATTCCCACAATGGCAACTAAAAAAGCAAACATACAACAATGGCTGGCCTCAAAACAGATCGATTTTGATGAAACAATGGTCAAGGGTGAATTGATAAGTACAGTCAATAGACATAAATACAAATACGATTTTAAAATGATCGGCGAAATGGCCAAAAAACAAAATAAAACTGTCTTGAGACTGCCACCCTACCATTGTGAGCTGAACCCTATTGAGCTGATTTGGGCCAACATAAAGCAATACGTGGCGTCGAATAATAATACTTATAAATTTTCTGATGTTAAAAATCTCTTTCACATCGCAGTCAATAGAGTTACGGCAGAGGAATGGAAAAACTGTATCCGCCACGTTCGGGAGAAGGTTGAGGTCAAAATGTGGGATTTGGACAATGTCATCGATACCCAAATATAATTCATTTAAACGATTCAGAAGATTCAAGTTCCTCTTCTGAATGAGTGCGCGCAGCTTACTTACTAATAACTAAAAAGTGTAGTTAACTCATTTGTGAATCTCTAACTGAAATTTACTGTAAAAGATAATAATTATCTTGTATGAAATTTTTGATGACTACCCATAATATCTTGATGCGGTCCTGTAATGTCTCCTGCGCCTAAACACTCACTCACGAGCAATATGCGTGTATTTGTTTGGGTTTAGTTTCTTTCTTCAGCGCCTAGAGTATATGTACTAAATTCCTATTTAAAATAAGATATTTCCTTATCTTTCTTCAAGAAATAACTTTTTTGCCACAAAAACACGCTCCAATAGCTATTTTCAACAACAAAATGATAAACAAACCATGGGCGTAGTGAAGAAAAGCATTTACTCATTAAGTAAATTGTTTTAGTCAAATTTCTTCTTAAAGTAGTACAAACTGATCTGATGTACCTATTAAAGTCTACTTTAAGCTTTAAATCAATAAATCTTGAAAACTACTGAACTGAAGCTCATGTATTTTACATCATTATAAAGGGAATTGTAAGACCTTTAAAATAAGGTATCACTCGACCCCCCTTTCCATTTAAGAGTTTAGGGTTGGTGTCACCCCCGCCCAGGGGGCTGCACGTTTTAACGTGATTTTTTGCCAAACTTGTGTCCCCATCGACAACAAAATCGACTGATCTGAGCGTTTTTCCAAAAAAAACTGTGCTGCCAGTAAATGCGTCTGTTTCGTTTTCGATGCGCCACCCTGTACGTATTTAGAATACTTACCAGATAGTTATTTTCATCTCGCTTTGCCAACAAAAACCTTTTTTTATGAAAATTTTGTGATAAGTCG